GCGCGCCGCCCGCCCGGGGCTGCCCAGGGACGCTGGGCTCGGGCCTCTCCACTCGCCGCGGCCGGGGAGCCCTCCCCCTCGCCCCCAAAGTTTCTGGGTTCGTTGGAATCTTTGGATTCAGGATTTTTTCCTTTTTGTTTTTCACCTAGGAATTTGAGGGGAAAACTTTTGACAAATCGACCGCACTTTCTCTCCGCTAGCTCTCTGTCCCCCTTCTTTTTTTCGAGCAGGGGAAGGGGCTTACGAGAGAGGCTCCCGCTGGACAAAGTTTTCCAAAGTTTTCCGAGTGTGATGGTTGCGGGGAGAGCTAACCCACCGGCTTGATTCACGGCTTCCTCTCGCCACCCCTCGAGCAGCCCCTAAGCCCGCTATAAGGGAACAAACAAACAAACAAACAAACAAAGTTACATTCCGAGTCGCCTCGTGTCTCCTCTGTCTCTTCTTTTACGCATTTTTTTTCTCCCTCTCTCCGCTCCCCGCGCAGCCTCCACTCCCCTTCCTTCGACCCCTTCCTCGGTCTCTGTCTCGGCTGGAGGTGCCAGGACCCCCGGCCGCAGCCTCCCCTCCCCCGCCGCTCCGTCCCTTCTCCGGCCCTCCCCTCCCCCGCCGCGGCCGGCACAGCCAATCCCCCGAGCGGCCGCCAACATGCTCTTTGAGGGCTTGGAGCTGGTGTCGGCGCTGGCCACCCTCGCCGCGTGCCTGGTGTCGGTGACGCTGCTGCTGGCCGTGTCGCAGCAGCTGTGGCAGCTGCGCTGGGCTGCCACCCGCGACAAGAGCTGCAAGCTGCCCATCCCTAAGGGCTCCATGGGCTTCCCGCTCATCGGAGAGACCGGCCACTGGCTGCTACAGGTAAGGGCACACTCGCTCCGCTGCTCTCCGGGGTCCGCTAGCGGCGAGCGCGGGGCCGATGGAGCCACGGGCCGGCCAGGGGGCGCCGGGAGCCTGAAGGCACCGGTCCCCGCCCCGCCCCTTCCCTCCTCTCTGCCTGCGCCGCCCGGGCTTCCCCAGCCCGCCTGCGGCGTGGTTCGGAGCCCGTTGGCACCTGGTGCACAGGTTCAGGGGGCTGATAAGAGAGGTCCCCGGACCTCTCAAGCCCAGCTTTCCCCAGTCGCGGGCGGCACGGCAGGGGTGCGTGGAGCGCCCTAGGGGCTCCCCGCGCGGCGCGAGCCCGAGGGGGCGTCCGGTCGTGAGCCGCTTTCGTCTCCCCTTCGCGCTCCAGGCCCCAGTTGCCGTCGGCTTCCTGGGCTTTGGCAGCGTCACTGGGACCCGAAAACTGAGTCGGGGAGAGGAGGAGGGGGCCAGTGGCAGCCAGAATTGCCCCTTTAAGACCCGGACTGTGTTCCCTCCGCCTCGTCGGCTGCGCCAGGTACAACGGCCCTGGTCCACGGTCCGAGACAGTGTGTGTGTTTTGTGGTGCGGAAGGAAGGAGGTAACCAAGGGAAAATGAGAAGCCTGAAACCCGTGGGTTCTCGGCTTTCGGGGAAAAGGGTCTATTTACTTATTGGGTGGGGACAGTGTTAACAGGGGAGAGAAACTGTTGGTGCATGTGAGATCCATAGAGTTCGTATGTGTTTGTTGTTAGCCGCGCACAGCCCCACACTGCTAGTGATAATGGGGAGATTAACCTGGAATTAACCTCCCCAAGTGCTAGACAATCGCTTTTGCAATTTGATACACACCAAGATTTGTCTTTTGGTGGGGAGATGCCTCTGGGTTAACCGCGGGAGGTGTGTTATGCGCGCGTGTGCACGCGTGTTTGTTCGGAGGATGCTGATGGGAATTAGGGGAAGGATGGATGTCCTGAAACAGATAACCGCGGCACAGGAGAGGTGAGGCGGGAAGTGAACGTAGAGACCTATGGGTTTTGAAGTGCGAAAGCTTGGCTTGAAATTCACAGACGCGTGCAGTTCGCGCACACACATACACCCCGCCCGGACCCGCCCCGCGCCAAATGACAGCGAAGCGGGGGCGGGGAGGGGGACGCGAGATCCCCGTGCCCTGTAGTCTTCCCAAGTCCTGGAGTCAGCCCATCTCTTTTTGGGGTGGTTCGTGCAACGGTCCAATGGGACTAGCCCCTCCCCTCCTTAAAGAAATCCCCAGAACCTCTCCCGTGCCCCCACACTTAAGGGTTAACTCCAGCGGTGGTCTAGGCTTTTGGCTGAGATTTTAGGAAGAAAAAAACTCACATGGGCATCGGTCCTGCCTTGTTAGAGCCAATCTGCGGAATCCGCTGTCTGTCACCGCCCCCTCTCCCCCTTTTTCCTGACCTTTCTCTACCACCTCCAAGGTCCCCCTGACCTTTTCTCCGAATCCCACAAGGGCCCCTGGGGCTCCAGGTCCAGCCCGCACAGAAGATGGGGTGGGGGTAGGGGGAGCAGGCCTCCGCCTCCGCATCCATCTGCCCCGGGGCCCTAGACTCCGAGGTGGGAGGGAAATGGGGGATGCCTGTAGAGGAGCGCTGAAGGGGTTAATGGGAGCCCTCTGAATCCCAGCTTTATTTTTTCGGAGTCATTTATCAGATTTTACGGGGGGACCTCCAAGGGCTCTCCGTTTCCACCGTGCGCCATCTAAACAGAGCCCAGGGCTAAAAATACAACATTTTTGTATAAATTGGACTCGCGGCCCTAGCGGCCGCCCCTATGAAAGTCCTCTTTGTGAAGACCGTGGAAACGGCGGACAAATAACTCTTTATTAATGCCACAAAAAACGCACTTTAATTATAGTTAGGCAGATCAGAGGCGGGGTGGGGGGCGGCGAGAGAGAGGCGGCGGCGACCTCGGAAAATTCACAGCGCAACTTTTGTGTCGAAAGAAAAGAAAAACAGAGGAACAGAAGGAGAGGAGAGACAGAGAGTCAGACGGAGCGAGGGAGACGGGTATAGCAGACGGAGGGAGGGAACCCCGCTCCTCACCCCCCCTTTGTCGCACCTCCACCCTCGCCTAGATTTCTCTTAAAGGGGTAGACGCCGTCTAGAACGGCGGCAGGGTGGGGGGAGCTCTCCCTGCCCCGCCAACCTGGGAGCGGGGCGGCGTCCCCCGCGGCCCAGCCCCCCTCCTGGAGGCGCGGGCGCTCCGGGCTCGCTCCCTGTCGCGCGCCGGGGCCGGAGGCGCATGTGGAAAAGTGATTAGGGCTCCGGGTTCTGCAGAGTCACTTTTCGGCAGTGCTGATGTGTGTACACCTCTAGCGGGAGAATACTTTTCCGTGGAAGAAAGGAAAGTGAGGAGGGGGACCAACCCGGGAAAAGGGGAAGCCGAGTTGTCCCTTTGGGGGTGCATGACCCCGGAGGTCTGGAGCCCGCATCCGCACGTCTGTTGGCGGGCTGGCGGACGGCTGGACAGGTGGCGCCCCTCCCCTTCTCACCCGGCACTGCCCTGGCAGGAGAAGAGTTAAAGTGGGGTGGGGTGGCGATCGCCTACGTCAAAGGTGAGCGGGACGCCCCTGCCCCCGCCCCTCGGAGGTCCCCTCGGTTTCCGGTACCCGCGCTGGGCCAGCTCAGCCAGCACCTTGGAGCGCCCGGCCCGCGCCGGGGCCTAGCCATCCCCGGCTCGCGCCGCCGCTGCTGCCGCCGGGGATCCGGTTACCTGTGACTGCCGCCCCGCCCGGCCCCGCCCCGCCCCGCGGGGAGCGCCTTCCTCCGCGCTCCAGTTCCAAACTCCAGGGCGGCGGCGAAAGTCCTTCTCAGTAATTTCCAGGGCAAACTGCATTAGGAAAATCGCGGCTCTCGGCCCGTGACCCTACCCCGCAGAGCCCTCAGAGGGCCGCCGGGTCCCTTCGCGGCCCACTCCTGAGAACGGAGGAAACCCCAGCCCCCAGCTGTAGTGACTGCCTCCGGGCACGGACCGCTCAACGCTATAAATAATCTTTGGCCTGCGGCCACCCCGCGGGGTCTCGCCAGCCCGTGGCCGGGAGCCTGGAAATATTTATTCCGAGAGGCTCCGGAGCGCGAGGCGGGGGAGGGGGGGGCGGAGGCTCTAGCTTCGGTCCCGCCGTCCGGGATACCTTTTCCCTCCCGCAAGTCATTTCTAAAAAACAGCCTCCCGCGGGGTGCCCCTGGGCCTCCCGCCTTCTTGCATTATTTATTATCCTCTAGGCCCTACTTCTCAGTTCTTGTGCATGCGATGAAAAATAAAACCTACGTGCGTGTTTGTGTGTGTGTTGAGGGGGCAGGGGACTGCAGCCCCGGGAGGGGTCCTCCGCCCTTTCGCCGCGGGCCCCCGCGGCTGGGCCTCCGGGACGTCCCATCTGTAGATGTGCGCCCTGAGAGAGGTCTCTGGCGTGGCTCCCGCAGGGCTCCGGCTTCCAGTCGTCGCGGAGGGAGAAGTATGGCAACGTGTTCAAGACGCACTTGCTGGGGCGGCCGCTGATCCGCGTGACGGGCGCGGAGAACGTGCGCAAGATCCTCATGGGCGAGCACCACCTCGTGAGCACCGAGTGGCCGCGCAGCACACGCATGCTGTTGGGCCCGAACACGGTGGCCAACTCCATCGGTGATATCCACCGCAACAAGCGCAAGGTAAGAGCTCTGGGCTAAGAGCCCCGAAACCGTGCTCTGACCCTCTTCTTCCGTGCACCCCCTCGGGGTAAGGAGTTCGTGGAGCCCTGGGAACGTTCCCACCCGAATCTGGGCCCCCATTTGCACAGCATGCTGGAGGATCTCCGCAATTCTTTGCATCAAGGGCCTGCACAGGCCTCCGGGTCTGCCTTCTTGCTGGCCCACTGCGCCGTGCGCACTACCAGGCCCAAAAGGTGGCTTTTTAGGGGGGTGGTTTGGATAGAGCGTTTAAACGTCTGGGGACTGGGGCGTCCAGTCGCCGTGCTCCACAAAACTGGAAAGAGAATAGGGCGGTCAGTGGTCCGCGCTCCCCTTTTCGTCGTGTTTCCCCCGGGAATTCCGAGGACTAGAGACGGATGATTCTAAAATCAAACCTAGCTTTCCTGCCACAGGTTGCTTTAATGGCGACGCGGCCAGGCGCGGGCGGGCAGGGGGCACCTTGTGGGCAGCGTTTGCAGGGCCTTGCCTGGGAGGGGTGAGGTGAAATATGGGCCACTGTGCGCACGGATCTGGATGGTGGGGGAAGGGCGAGGGGTGGGAGAACAGCCCAGGCGCGGCGGGAGATCAAAGCGCACCTACCCCCTCCCATAAAGAGGAAGAGAAAGTGGGTGTTTATCCTGTGGATTTCCCGAGCGCCTGGAAGAGGCGCGGAGGAGGCGAGCCAGCGCGCACGGAGCGAGCCTCCCCGCCCCCTCCCAGGGCTGCGCCGCCGCCGCTGCCGCCGCAGCTCCGAGCGCGGGCGGCACGTGCTGTTTGAACTGCAATAACCCGAAAGCTGAGCCGCCGGCGGGCGGGGCGCCGGCCTGCAGGCTTCAAGCGGCCAGAGGAGGTGCTGCACGACATCCCCTCCCTCCCTTTTTCCATTGGGTCAGAGGACTCACCCAGGTTTGAAACCTAAAGGAAAGAGAGAGGCAGCCTCTGATCTCCAGGAGGAGTGGCCGAGTCCGGGAAAAGGGTAGGGGCAGTGGTGGGCAGCCCCCTCCACCGGAAATCTGTGTGTGAGGTGGTCTTGGTGAACGTAGGAATTTATCTTACAGTATTTGATGTCTTCTGAACTGCCTGCGAAGAGTAATTTTTCCGTAGCAGACAAAAGGAGGAAAAACCAGAGACTAACCCACTTCCCCCAATAAAGCATATATTTCGGGGTCTAGAAGGGGGCTCTTAAAGCCGTCTCCCCCATCTGCCTCACGGGAGCAGGAAGCAGCTAAGGGAGCAGGAAGCAGCTAACGCGCCCCGCCACAGGAGCAGATGGGGTGGGGTTCTGGGGAGTGGCTGGGTGGGGGCTCTAGGCTCAGGAATGGGGGCTTCTCAAATGTGTCGTGCACTTCTTTTTTCCTTAGTGACTCCACCAAAAGCCCAATCCAAAGAGTGAGGAGCCTGAGACTCAGAAGCCCAGCTCCAAAGAATATGACTCCTTCCTCATTTTGTCCTTATAGAGGCTTTGACAAGAAAGCAGTTATTGTCCCCTTCTGACAGAAGGGGCTGTTGCCAGAAGCTGGGGACTGGGGATGGGGAGGGGGGCACTGGGAGGAAGAAGAAGACTTGGTGGAGGCAGAGTGCAGAGGGCTTTTGGTTGGGGCTGTTGCCTTGCCGTTCCACCTACCCTCTGTTTGACTTGGTGAAGTGGCCTTGGGCCTCCAGGTGGGGAGGGTCTGCCTAGAAAGCCCAAAGATTTTGGTGTACATTGTCCATTTGGGAGGAGGGGAGGAAGGAAGGACAGGGGTAGGGCCGGGGTGGTGGCAGAAACTGAGGACCACAGATGAGGCAGTGATGGTCTCCCTCTTCCAGGCACCCTTGCCCTCTAGCTCCTTAGGGATGAGGAGCAGCCAGAAAGCAGTTCATCCTGACCAAGGCTTGGAAACCCGATGCAGGGTCCCTCTGTATGTGTGTACTGGTTATGTGCTTGCTATGTAGCATGTGGATGGGTCCTATGGTAAATGGGGGGACAAAAGGGTCCTTCCCCCAAATCTTGCTAATTGATGTTCCATAAGCTTAGGTTTACTGAGCTAAATAGAACGCCTTGAGTTAGGTACAAATGTAGAAGCGGAAACTTGGTCCTCACCTCAGGAGGTGGAGTCTAGCTGGAGGGACGAGAGGAGAATACTCAGGGGCACATGTTGGTCCTGGAGAGAATGGCCAGCCTGCTGGACCCAGTCTGGCCAGGGTGGGGGCTGCCATGGGCCACTCACACTGCCTTATGCAGCCCCCGCTACAGTCAGGGACCTGGCTGGAGAGCAGGCTGCTGGACGAGGCCCGGCCTGGTTAGGATGTACTCGCGGGAAGTGGGGCCCAGGTGTGCTGGGGCCTGGCTGGCAGGAAACTAGAGCGTCACTCTTTCCATTGGGGCTGGTGGTCCACCCCTTCTCTGGGAGGTCCGACCAGATGTGCTGGGAAGGGGCTCCTCGTGGCCATTGCTGCACTCCAGCTGTGTGCCCCGGCTGCCATGGTGGTCTGGGGCCAAGAGGGGTGGGGTTGCCAGGGAGAAAGTCCGGAAAGTCTTGCCCTACCTAACAGAGTCCTCTCTGGAAGCCAGGCCGGTATCCCTATAGCCACCACCTCAGACTCTGTTTCTCCTTCTTTGTTACCCCTCCCCACCCGGGGCCTGGGGTGGCCCTGATGGGTGAGGGAGGGCCCCCATCCCTCTTTGTGGGCAGAGAGCCAGGGTATTGCCCTAGAACGGTGCATGGAGTCTGGTAGAGAAGCCTGGGGGGAGGGTTGTCAGAGATACGGAGGAGTTGGGAGTAGTTCTGGAAGCCTCAGTGCCCAGCCCCCGACACAGGATCAGGCATTTCCTCCTCTTCTTCAGACACAGGGCTGGACCTCTTTGCACCAAAGGGCCAGTAGCTTCAGGGCACCTCAGACAGTGGCCTTGAGATTCTGTTGGGGAACTTGGAGAGCATCCCAGAGGATGCACTTAGCCTTGGAGCCCTGGACTGGGGAGACTCCAGGCGTGGTCTTCTTGCCCCTCCTATCCAGACCCCTGGCTACAGGACCTTCTGTGCCCAAGGCTGAGGTGGGGAAGTGGCTCCCCAGGCTTTGGAGGCAGGGATTAAGAAGGCTTGCCTGCCCACCCACCACCCCTCACTGGCCTGGCCTTTGGACTCTGTCCTGGGTGGGGTGGAGCTCAGGCTCAGGGTCACTGCACTCCTCTCAGGAACCCTGTGCGTCCTGGGGGTTTTTATGGAGATGGAGATGCCAGGAGGTGCCTGAGCAGGAGGTCAGAGCCAGGAGGGCCTGGGGTCTGGGGGAGGCCAGCCCAGACCAGCTGTAGGTGGCCTTTGGATGAGTGCACAGCCTCTGGCTGCAAAGTCCACCAAGCTCAGCTCAGGGCAGAAGTTCCCACCTGCATTGGATGGGAAGGCGGGTGGCACGGCCAGGCAGCCCTGCTACTGGGAGCTCTGCCAGGGGGCATGGGCACAGAGCCTTTGTTCTGAAGTCCTTCACCCAAAAGTTACTGTAGCACCAGCTCGTGGGCGCAGGGGCTGCTGAGGGGGCGGGTGGAAGGAGTGGATCTCTCTGAAGGTCAGCGGGGGAGGGAGCCCACGGCCAGCCGCCAGGGTGCCTGGGAGTGGGCGCCTCCCTCTGCATGCCCTTGTGCCAGGCAGTGGGGTGGACGGGTGGGCTGGCTGGGCCTGGGGGCCACCCCCTCCCATTTCCCTCCTTTCTGTGTCCTTCTCCCAGGGCGGGGAGGGTTCCAAGACTGTGATGCTGATGTGTTTGCTCACTCTCCCAGGCTGGGGAGACAACTGTGGCCTTGGCAGGGAGGCTGGGCTGGGGTCTGCTCTGGCCCGGAGCCCCAGGTCAGTTGTATCTGTTCCCGGTTCCCCAGGCTGAAGGGCAGGGGTTGGGGCTGTGCCTCCAGGGGCCGAGAAATGCTGAGGGCAAACTAGAGTGGCCAGAACAACTGGCCTTACCCTTAGAACAAACTTGGGCCATAGAGGAGGGTCCCTTCAGGCCTCTTAGATAAATTCAGAGCCCCCCAGCAGTGGTAGAGGGCGGCTCGCTGGGGTTTGGAGTGGTGGGTGTGGCCAGTCACGTCCTGGACTGTGACCTTGGGAGGGCCCTTCCCCCTTTGGGCCTCAGCTTTCCGAAGGGGGTTCGCTATGGCTGGAAGAGGGAAAAGAGGGAAAAAAGGAATGGGCAAACCTTTCCAGATTCTATGGCTCAGCAGGTATCTGCCAAGTGCTGCCCTCCCCTCCCCCACCACATGCTTTTGTTGTGTGTGTGGAGGAGTTCGGGGAGACAATTAGAGCTGCAATCAAATGGGGGACAGGTACTGTTCCCACAGATGCTGGAACCCAGAAGGGGCATGCACAGGCTAGGGGGTCTGGGCCAGCCCCTCCCAACCAGGGGTCTGAGTGGGGACAGGCTCAAAAGGCAGCCAGGGTGAAGTTCAGGCCCAGTGGAGATGCCAGGCAGCTGGGAAGATGACGTTCTGGCTTGTCCTCCCCCTTCCTGGAGTATAAAGTACACACCTTGGCGTCACCCCTGTGCTGTGCGGACAGCTGCCTCGGCGGCTGCCTGCCCTCTGTTATTCTTTCCACTCCGCAGGCCGCAGCTCCGGTGGTTTGGCGGGGTGGCCCGCCCAGGCCCCCACCCTCCCACCCTCCCGGGCAGCCACTTCCATTCCTCCCAATCTGAGTCACTGGCCTGGGGAGTGGGTTCCCTCTCCGGCTCTTCCCGCTCCCAAGGCTGCCTGTCCATCTGTCCGTCCATCCACAGCTGGCAGCTGAGAAGAGGGAGGTTATCTGCTGAGCGGGTCAGCACCCAGGGCCATGGGGGTCTAGCAGGCGACTCCCCTCCCAGGGGCACTGGGTGAGAGGCAGGAGAAGGAGGGAAGCCTGGCGGGGGTGGGGGGAGGGGAGGAAGCATTTGTTGAAACAATTATAGGGAATGTGAGCCTTGACAAGCCCCCTGGTGGTCCCCCCAGACCCTCCTGTGGAATCAGCTCCCATTCTGGGAGAGAGAGAACCAGGGATGTGGGCTCCTGCGCCAGTTGCGTTGTTGGAGGAACCAGCAGGAGTGGGGTGAGGGCTTCTAAGCACATCCTTCATCGCGGGAGCCCATCCGGCCCTGCGTCTGCGCCTGGGAGTCCCCAGGTCTCCCGCGGCCACGGCCCTGGCTCTCCCGGCACCAACCCTGGTGGGAAGTCCGTACCTGCTGCTCCCTCCGCAGGGCTTTGCCTGGGCCGGAGCTGGTTCCCGATGACCTTTGTCCAGCATTCTTGGCTCACTTTTGGGAATTCCTAGGGAAGCCCCAGAGGGAAACAAAGCAGCTCTCGCTCCTGTGACAACTGTGGTCAGGGCAGGCAGCTCTGGGGGCTGGGAACCCTTCCCCTCTTCACACTGAGCCGCTCTGCAGGGCACCTTCCCTTGTGCCCCAGTCCTGACCCCGCCCGCCCCGGACGCGGCCCAGGCCTCCCTCTGCCCTGGCCAGCACCTCCGCCTCCTCCTGGCCTTTGTGGTGGGCGGTGGTTTCTGGGCTGCCCCGGCTTCGGGAAGTGCCCGCGTTGTTAACCCTGGGCACCGACCCAGGGAGGAGGCCCTGGAGTTTTCCCGGCGCCTGGGAGGCCCTGATGCCTGTGGAACAGCTGGGCCGGAGGCAGGGGCATGGACTGGGTGACCTCCGAGCAAAGCCTCTGGGGCCTGCGATCTGCCTTTGTGTGGCTTCTCAGTGTCTCCACCTCAGGGGGGCTCTGAGGAGACTCGTGGGACAGCCAGGTAGAAAGGGACCCCAGGACATCTAGTTAGATCCCTCATGAAACCAGTGGGGAAACTGAGCCCCAGAGAGGGCAGTGACATGCTGGCTGCCACTGGCGACTCAGAGGCTGGGTCCAGATAAGGGCCCTGGGCCTGGCTGCCGTTCTCTTTTCAGAAGCCACAGCCCCAGGGGGCCTGCAGGTGCAGGGTGGCAGTAGGCTTCCTGGGGTCATTCCAGCCCCTGGCCTTGCTCAGGTCCCCTTTCCACCTAGAGGTGAGGTGTGGCCCCCTGCCCTTGGAGTCCCTCTGCTCAGTCCCAGCTCCCCCTGGGTCCTCCCTGCCCCCAAGGCTTGAGAAGGAGAGATTCAGCCGGCCATCGCTAGAGGGCGCAGGGAATGTAACCTTGGGGCAGGGCAGGGCTTGTCAGTGGGTTGGTCTGGCCCCTCCTCAGGGAGCAGTGGGGCCCTCAGAGCTCCGCCTTTGGCCGCCCTGGGCTGGCCCCTTCTGGGCCACTGTGGCCGTGTCAGGTGTGTTTGGGGGGCCTGTAGGCACTTGCCAGGTAACTCGTGCAGTGCCAGATGCTGGGCTTCTTGGAGGGGACAGCATCCTCTTAGGGACATGCAGATATTGGCGTTATGTGCTCTGTAAGTTGAAAGGAACCACAGAGGTCACCTGGTCCCACCTCACCATTTTACAGATGAGGAAACTGAGGCTGGGGGTGACTTGGCCATGATTTCACAGTAAGTTGGTGGGTGATCTGAGGTTAAAAATCATGTCTCTGGGTGCCCACCCTGCCTTTTCCCACCATCTCACTGTGTCTACGAGCCTAGCTGGCTTTGACTTCGGCTGGTCCTGGTCGGCGTGGTCTCTGCCCTATTCCCCCTCCACATGCCCACCATTGGGCCCAGGCCTCCCGTGTGCTGGCAGCCCCTGCCCCAGTGCCCTTCAGGACAGACCCTTAGTCTGACCTGGGCTGGCTGGCTCTGGGCCAAGCGTCACCTCCCTGGCCCAGCCTGCCTTCACCTCCAGCCTCCCCACCGAGGCCTGGTAGCCACCAAGTTATCTTCTGCCCCCCTGATGAGCCTGCTCAGCTCCCACGCACCACTTTCTGCTCCCCCCACGAGCTCTTTGCTGTTTTATAAAGGCTGTTAGTTGGCTGGCGTCCGGCTCTGGGGGCAGGGCCCCACCCCCACCCCAAAAGACTCTTTGACCAAGAGGAACCTGTGGTCCTAAGGCCACCAGGGTGGGCGGCTGAGGCAGAGAGGGCTGCCTTTATCCCTCACCCTCTGAAGGGAGATGGCAGCTGAATGCCCCCCTGGAAATTCCCGGGACCCTTGCAACAGAACCAGGTGTGAGTGACCTGTCCAGGCCTGGGCTGCCCTGGGCCACCTCCGCTCATCCTTCTACCTTCCAGCCTGCCCCTCAGTAGCAGGAGCAGCCCCAAACACTGCTGGCTTTTCTGCCCCTTGCCGGCCTCCTTCCCTCCCTCCCTCTGCCCACCGGGAATTTCGGAATGAAAGTGCTATTGTGAACGCCTGGCTGGGCCACTGAAGGGCCAGCACTGTTATTTCTGCAAACCAGCCCTCCCATTAGCCATGCAGGGCCCAGGCCAGGAAAATGTTACCTTTTCCTCCCTGAGCTGACTGCAGGGGAAATTCTCACATTTACAGTTTGTGCGGTGGTTGTGTTTGGGGGGCAGGGGGGAGGGCGGGCGCGTGTGTGTGGTTTGCGGGGGGCAGGGTTGGGGGGGCCAGAGGAATATTTGTCTCCTTCCTCTGCGCTGCCCCTCCCCTCTCTGCCTTCTCCGATGACCTTTCCCTGGATGCTGGGGCGGGGAGGCACCCCCCTCCTGCTCCAGACTCTGGGGGGGATGGCAGTTGTTGGTTACAGAGTGAGACCCACAGCCCGTCGGTAAATAAACTAACATCCTTCCCTCTCTTATAACCATGGGCAGCAGCCTGGAAACCGTGTGCAGGGGCATCTGGGTGAGGAGGGGGTGGGAGGGGGTTGCTGAGGAATCAGGAGGGCAGAAAGCAGGAGAGGTAGAAACAGGACTGGCTACTTAAAATGGACCTGGAAGATGCAGGGAATTAAAAGGGCTTCTGTTTGGCTTTGTGATATTTTGGGGTGGAAAGCCTTGCCCGCATCCCCCTGCCTCCAGACTCAGCCTCACTGAAGATATTTTGATGGCAGAGTTGGTAACAGACTCCCTAGGATCTCCACCCAGTAGAGATGGAGCGAGGGCAATTGTGGGTCTCAGGAAGTCTTGCTTGCAGTCTAGCCTCAGACTTTCTTGTTTTCCTATCAATGGAGTAGAAGAGCCACCTACTGCTTTCCACCTCTTCCTTGTTTAGTCTGTTTACCTGTGTTCCACTCCTCATGGGCACTTCTGCCCTGTGGCCTAGGAATTCTGGAATGGGCCCCTGCAGTGGAGGAGTGGTCTCCCCTCCAGCCTCGCCCAGCCTCCTCTTGTGTTGCCCCCTATGGTTGGTATGGCCACATTGGCCACAGACCTGTTGGCAGCTGGACTGCCCAGTCCCCAGGGCTTTGTCATTGCTTGGAGAACATGCTTCTTTGGGGGTCAAGAAAGGAGATGATAGCTCAGGTCACCCCGTGAGTGATGTGAAGTTCCCGACTTTGAATAGAAATACTTATGAACTGTTTTAATTCTGTCCTTGCCCCACTTCTCCCCACCGTCCAAAGACTCAGGTAGTAGGAGGGAGGTTCAGAATAGAGGACCAGAAGGGGACTGTGTCTGGGAGGTGGAATGGGGGAGCTCGGTCGCAGTGAGGACCTGGAGTTTTCCTCAATCGCAGTCATGGCATCCGTGCTTCAGCCAGGCTTCGTGGGAGCTGTGTGGGCAGACCCCAGCCCATCTGACCAGCTCGCCCGCCTCTCTGCCCTCCAGATCTTCTCCAAGATCTTCAGCCATGAAGCCCTGGAGAGCTATCTGCCCAAGATCCAGCTGGTGATCCAGGACACGCTGCGTGCCTGGAGCAGCCACCCCGAGGCCATCAACGTGTATCAGGAGGCGCAGAAGCTCACCTTCCGAATGGCTATCCGCGTGCTGCTGGGCTTCAGCATCCCCGAAGAGGATCTGGGGCACCTCTTCGAGGTCTACCAGCAGTTTGTGGAGAACGTCTTCTCCTTGCCTGTCGACTTGCCCTTTAGCGGCTACCGGCGGGTGAGCACCCAGGGCCTGGGAGCACAGGAGATGGGCATCCGTGAGCCCACCCTGAGGGAGGGGCGGCTGACTGCCAAGACACACAGTGGTCACACAGTCAGTCTTCACTTGGCACTCGCTGTGGCTTAGATGGGAAGTTCTCAGAGGAGTCCTTTCCCTTACCCCGCCTTGGGAGAAGGCCCTTGGTGGCCCTGCCCTCCCCTTGGGTGATGGGATGGCCCCCTTCTCCCCTCAGGGCATTCAAGCTCGGCAGATCCTTCAGAAGGGCCTGGAAAAGGCGATCCGGGAGAAGCTGCAGTGCACCCAGGGCAAAGACTACTTGGATGCACTGGACATCCTCATCGAGAGCAGCAAGGAGCACGGGAAGGAGATGACCATGCAGGAGCTGAAGGTGGGCAGCGTGAGCGCTCTGTGCTCCACGCTCTGGCTGCCCTGGGGTGGGAATGGCCGGCCGTTACTACTTGTCCTCGTCTGGTTCCACAGCGACTGCTGCTGAGCAGCTGCGGTGGCCGTCACTGCACAGGCTGGTGCTCAGCCAGGGGAGAGACTATGTCCCTGCACGTGGCCTGGGGGGGAGGATGAGAAGCACCCACGATGGGTGGGGCCTCCTCTCTCCCCACCGCTTACTGCCCACCCAGTCCTGGTGGGGAGTGGGTCCCCCTGCTGCTGGGCCCTGTGCTCTCCATCCCACCCACAGTCCCACCTACCGTTTTGGAAAAGATGCCAAAAATTGGCCCTTGGAAACCTCTGAAGAGACTCGATGTCAGAGGTGTTTTCAACTCCTCGCCACTTACCCCCAATATTCACTATTTCAGTGCGTTTCATGGTCCCAATAGCCCTGGAGGTCACCTAGGGAAACCCAGGTCCAGAAGGGGAAGCCACTTGCTGAGGGCGGCCTCAGCCCTTGGGAAGAGCAGGGGGCACCTAACTCGGGCCCCATCCCACCCACCAGCCGTTACAAGTTGGTGGCACTTGGTGCTCTCTCCCAGCCTGCCTGGCACTGGCACAGCCCAGATGGTCTGCGGCACCAAGACTGTCCACGCTGGGCTCCACAAAGGGCTTCCTGCCCGCCCTTTTTTGGGGTGGATGTTCCCCCGAGGAGGGACTTGTTAGTTCATCCTGGGCTAGACTCTGCCACCCACACGCCTGCCAGGAGCCCATAGAGACTTACAGACTCCCTGTCCCCCATCTTTGCTTCTCCCCGTTCCAGCTCCAGGTTTTTTCCTGTGACTTTCCCATTTCACAGGAACTTTTTGACCCAGGTCCCTTCACTCCCATCTCTGGGCCCAGTGTCCACTTCTGTAAAATGCAGGGCTTGGAATGAGATGACCTGCTAGGGCGTTTCCATGGGGCGCCATGGCTCAGGTGCCTTGTTCCCCAGAGAACCTTGGAGGGGTGTCTAAGCCCTCTGGGGGCCACCTCCCCTCAGCCTGCTCACTGTGGTCCCATGCCAGGTCCTCGTGGGTGTGGCCTCAGGCTGCCTCCCCAACCTGTCAGCTCTCCTGCCTGCCTGCCGGCTATCCTTCTCCTGGGGATGGAGGAAGGAGCTGGGACTGTGAGTCAGCAGGCCCAGGGTTAGACCCTGCACCCCCTCACTCACCCCGCACAGTGCCCGGCTCTCTGGGACTTTTCCTTTTTCTTCTGTGAGCTCACTGCATTGACTGGGTCTGCAGGGGCTCACCGCCCCAGGAGCCACAGTGAGTGAGCAGTGGCCCTACCCCAAGGTGTTTCCAGGCTAGTGCCTTTGCCCCGAGTTGCAGCAGTTTTGTCTCCTGCCTAGCCGGGGGACTGGCCCTCTGACCTGTGTCCATTGTGGCCCGAATACCCCAGCAACGTATGGCTCAGAGGAAGCAGGCAGGACCCAACTAGATGACCTTGGGGCACGAGGGACACTGGCAGAGTGGGGCGGCCCCCAGGCTGGCCTGCCTGAACCCAGATCGCCAACGGTGCCTCTCCTCTCTGCCGCCGCAGGACGGGACCTTGGAGCTGATCTTTGCGGCCTACGCCACCACCGCCAGCGCCAGCACCTCGCTCATCATGCAGCTGCTGAAGCACCCAGCCGTGCTGGAGAAGCTGCGGGAGGAGCTGCGGGCCCACGGTATCTTGCACAGTGGCGGCTGCCTCTGCGAGGGCACGCTGTGCCTCGACACGCTCAGCGGACTGCACTACCTGGACTGCGTCATCAAGGAGGTCATGCGCCTTTTCACACCCATTTCTGGCGGCTACCGCACCGTGCTGCAGACTTTCGAGCTTGATGTGAGGCTGGGACCCACGGGGCTGGGGCTCAGGGGGCCCGTGGGAGTACTGCCTCGGGGGGTAGGGGGCTGGCTGATGGGAAAGACAAATCTCCCCCTTGGGGTACCTCAGTCTGATGGGGAGACAGTCTTTGCTTTTAGGGGGCTTTCAGTCTGATGGGAGAGACCCCGCCGCAAATGCTGGGTCAGATGAAGCCAACCTGGGTGTCATGTGTGCAGTTGCATGTGGACATCTATAAATAAGAAACCAGACCAACATGCTGAGATGGGAGGCTGGCCAGGCCTGGGGGACTACAGTGGGACGTCTCTAGCAACATCTGGGGGCTGGCAGGCAGGAAGTCCTGGGCCCTCTCAGACCTCCTCTGGCTCTCACCACTCCACCCCACCCCTGCCCCCATCTTGCCTCCAGGGTTTCCAGATCCCCAAAGGATGGAGTGTCATGTACAGCATCCGGGATACCCATGACACAGCGCCCGTGTTCAAAGACGTGAACGTATTCGACCCCGACCGCTTCAGTCAGGCGCGGAGCGAAGACAAGGATGGCCGCTTCCATTACCTCCCCTTCGGCGGCGGCGTCCGGACCTGCCTGGGCAAGCACCTGGCCAAGCTGTTCCTGAAGGTGCTGGCGGTGGAGCTGGCCAGCACGAGCCGCTTTGAGCTGGCCACGCGGACCTTCCCCCGCATCACCTTGGTCCCCGTCCTGCACCCCGTGGATGGCCTCTGCGTCAAGTTCTTTGGCCTGGACTCCAACCAGAACAAGATCCTGCCAGAGACGGAGGCCATGCTGAGCGCCACAGTCTAACCATGCCTGGCCCGCACCCCCACCTCAGCCCCGCCAGGCCATGGGGGTGGGAGGCAATGGAAGGCTAGAAACCTGTGTGTGGGAGGGGGCTGGAACCTGGGGAAGGGGGAGCGGCCCCCCAGACCTCGCCCTCCCCTGTTCCCCGTCCCTGGCAAACCCTACCCACAGCCCAAAGGGCCCCATCCTCTGAGGGACGGGGGCCCTTCTCCTGGCTCCTGCTTCCCTCCAGTCTCTCTCCAGTTTCCACCAGCTTAGCTCCCGGAAAAGGGCATGGTGGGGGCTCTGCATGCCTGTTACAGTGTTAAATTCAGTCAGCTCATGCTGCAGCGTCTGCTTGTGAGGTTCCCAACTGGTCCGTCCCCTCCCATTCCTTTTGGACACTTTCAGTTTGAGGTCAGGTGGTTGACACGGGGGAGGGAGGAAAGGAGGTGCCACCTGTGGGGCTCTCTTCAGCACCCCTCACCCTCCTGCCTCTGGAGAGCCCCTCCCAGGGGTGTGGCCTCCGGGGAACAGCATCCTGGGTAAAGAATAGAGTCACCCTTGGTGAGGGCAGGGGCTTCAACCAGCCTGGAGGGCCCCGCCCCTTTACTGGTTTGGACATTTGAAATTACCTATTGCTGCTACTTTTTCTCTCCTCTAACCTTGGGGCAAAGGAGCCCCAGGCCCTGTCCTCCCAGCATCCTCCCTGGTGGCCCTGGGCTCGCGCACTGACATCCCCATCTTCCCGCCAGGCAGCCTTGAGCCCACTCTGCTCCTCTGTTACACACCTGCCCAAGGCCCTTGGCTCCTGGGCTGCCCCCCCTGCACCCACGCCCCATATTTATTCACTGATATAACCGAGTCTTGGTGTTGCTGGGGGCTAGAACAAGCATCTCCTCCGTCCCCTAGCCTCTGTCTCCAGATGTCCCGGGCAGGACTTCTGTGAGTGACGCAGCACCCTCCCCCACCAGGGTTAACAGCTCCCCCAGGCTCCAGACCTCCTGTGGGTTCAACCTCAGAGCCTCACTCCGGGGGAGTAATCTGGCGCCTTGGCCTTTGTCCCCTGGTGGAAAAGGGGAGATGGCCCACGGCCTCCCTCCCCACTCTGTCAAAAACCCTGATCAGGTCGGGGTTTGGAGGCCGCCACGATCTCCTGCTAGGCCACTGTTCACCCTGGTGCCCCCACTCCGGCTAGTGAGTATGGGGAAGGATACGGGTTCTTTCTTCTGACGGGGAGCAAGGGCCTCCGTCGTCCCTTCCTTGACCCTCACCCTTTGCCCTTGGAAAGGTGTCCTTGAAGTCCCTTCGCACCTCTATGCCACTGTCTGCTTAGCCCAGCTCAGGGGTGTGGGGACAAGATGAAAGCAAGGGAGGTGAGCATAGAAGGCAGCCTCTCCTCAGAGCGGCCTCGGCCCTCGGCCGGGTCTGGAGGCAGCTGCGGGGCGGCTGCAGAGCAGCAGAAGGAGGGTACGTGCGGTTTGTCAGAAGTGACTTGGTTGAAAATGGCGGTCGGGATGATGGGGAAAGAGGAGTAGCTCCTGGCCCTGGCATTTTGAGTGTTGGCAGTTTGGGGTGCCTCCCAGGGATGGTTGGGGGCCTTGGTGAGTCTCTATGCAATTTTGTCTGTTTTCAGGTTTTTCTTTGCTTTCTGTGTTTCTCTGCTGGCTTTTGATGTTATAAAAGCAGTGAATCCTTTTTACAAGAAAATCAAAACCACACAGAAGAATGCAGGACGGCCATCCTCCTAATTGCCTCTCCAAGCAGTGACCACTACGAGCAGCTCAGTGGTCCCTCCGACCATGTTCGGTGGGCCAACGGCCAACGCCCCCCCTCCTTCCCCACCTGCTCACGCCCACCTTGTGGTGGCTTCACGGGAGTGGGCTCATGCCCAACGGACTGTTCCATAACCCCCATTCTCAAGGGTTTCATTTGGTCCCTACTTTTTCACTATCAAAAAACAGTTCAGGACAGACATTATTGGCCAAAATAGACATTTAAAAAAAATTAGTAAAATCTCTCAATCTCCCCACATTCTGAAAAACAGGCAAAAAATGTGTCAAGACTCATCAAAGCTTGCAAAATAGCTGCATGGTCCACCAGAATGTGTTACCCACAAAAAAGCCCAGTGTCTGGAAGGTTCTTTCTCCTTGAAGCTGACCCAGCTTGCCCTGAACCATCTGTTTTTGACTGAGAATCTAGGAGCCCTCCAGCCCGGCCCTGGGGAGGGCTCTGGGAGGCCTCAGATGCCTTTGGTGGGGGAGGCCAGCCTGGGAGGAGCAGAGAAAAGGCTGAGAGGGAGGGAGGAAGGAAGGATCATTTGCCCCGCTGGGTCTCAAAGGCAACAAGAAGAGAACTGAAGAAGGCTCTTGACTGGCTGACAGGAGGGCTCCAATGTCGAAATTCATCCCTCTCTCCTCTCGCCGTCCATCCATCCGTGTCTGTGTTTGTGTGTAGGTTTTATAGAGGTTAACATTAGATGGGTGGTGTTTCCTCACTTACCATTCCTAACTATTGTAACTTGACGTTAAAAAGACAAAACCCCACAAAACACTTCCTGCCATGGGCTTGCAGAATGAAGCACTTTCGATGTTGGGCGCTGGCGTTTGTTCTGGGCACCATCCGGACCCTGCCCAGGTCGCTAGAATATTATTTTATACACAAAACTTTTTTTTCATAAATGTTATAATTTTGTGTCTGTCTTTATAAACTATTATAAGTACTATTTTTGTTATAATTCAAAATAGATATTTAGTATAAAGTTTTTGCTGTTAAATATTTGTTATTTAGTAAAATATGAATTTTTTCTCTATTGTAAACATGGTTCAAAATATTAATATGTTTTTATCACAGTTGTTTTAATAATGAAAAAGCACTTGTGTGTTTTGTTTTGATATGAAACTGGTGCCGTGTGAGTGTTCTTGCTGTCATGTGGTTTTAATCTGTATATAATATTCCATGTTGCATATTAAAAAAATGAATGTTGTGCATTTTGTGATTTTGGAAATACTCACTGTGGCTCTTTTATAGGCTTCCATAATAAACCGTGGGGACTTACCCCCGTTTGGCTCTCTGGTCTCTGCCTTCGCAGCCTCTCTGAAGGGGTCCTCCTGGCCACCCACATTCCCTCAGCAATGCCCAGTGCCATCTGTCAGGCAGGAAGCTCTTCCCCACACATGCGGCCTGGGAGGCCAGCCCACCATTCCTTGTGCGTGGGCGCAGAGAGGTCCGTGGCAGTGTCCTGCGAGGAGTAGGTTCCCCTGGAGAGGGAGAGATGGAACTGGAAGGCCACAAGCCCCAGAGACCTGTTCGGGGATGGGGCACCCGGGAGCCGGCTCCCCTGGCCGAGTGTGGCTCTGACTTGCTGGGCCAGGTGTCTCAGTGCTGGACACGGCAACGTAGAGCCCTGGGGGCCTGTCCTCAGAGTCCATCTTGTTTACTTGAGGGAGGACACGTGTCCACAGCCACACAGCAAACCGGGGAGCAGAAGTCAGTTCTCTTGACTTCCAGGCTTGTGCCCCACGAGGTGCTACTCAGAACCTGTTTCGTGGGTGTTGCAGGATCAACTAGAGTCCCTGATCAAATATGTTTGAGGAAGAGGTTCAGGCAGGTGCCTTCACTGCAGGGCTTCTAGGGACCTTGCGCCTGAGACTGGGCATGCTAAGGGGCCTCACAATGTAGAGTGGACGCAGGTCACAGGGCTCCCAAGCCCATTTTATGACTGAAACCGTGTCCTCTTTGCCGATTATCACACTATGAAAAGCTGCTCCGCAGCCTGACTGTCACAGAGCCTGGAGGTGAGGCAGGCAAAGGGCGCGTCCAGGAATGTCCAGGGTGTTTCCCAGGACCAAGGGGCTGTGGGTGGGGAGGAAGGGCAATGAGAGGCAGAGCTGTGGCCCTTGGAGCTGCACCAGGAACCAGGGAGGGCCTGGTGCCAGAAAGGGCAAGGCCTCACAGTGCCAATGCTGGCCGGAGCCGCTGCCTGGCCCGGTCCCTTCCCCACAGTCTGGCGGGGGATGGCCCCCTCAGCTGGCCTGAGAAAGGCTTTTGTGGCTGCAGAGTTTCTTTTCGATTCAGTCAGACCCAACTTCGCTAGAGCCCCCAGGCCCAGGGAGCAGGGCCTCTCCGGACCTGGACCAGCCACGGGGCCTGGCTACCCAGAAGAGAGTCACCAACGTCTTCCAAACAATGCCCCTAGGGCAAGACACTCAGCAAGCCCTGACCACCCGGGGCCATCTTTCTGCTTCCCCTGCCCCCTCCCCACCTTGCCCAGGCCTGCTCTCCCTGGGTCCTAACCTCCACCCTGGGGAGGAGGAGAGCCAGGGTGATTCCCCTGTTTTCCATAAGATAAAGCAGAGTCTCAGCGGGGCAAGGACTTTCCCACGGTCACACGGAAGCGGAGGGTAGTCCCTGTGCCATAATCAGGGCCACCTGCCCCACTCAGCACACACCCACTCTGAGGGGCTCCCTCAGAGGCCTCTAGGGTCAGCAAGAGGCAGCAGTGAACACCCCCAGCTTCTACCAGGAAACACGCCAGCAGAAGGTAGTAGTTTTTCAGAGTGTAAATTCCATCTCTCCCGGCGGAATGTCCTGTGTGGCAGCAGAGGTGAAGGAAGCGTGGTCCTTGGGCTGCCCTCAGTCTGACCGCCCTGCCACCAGGCGGGAGGGCCCTGCCGGGCGGGTGGCTCGTTTGTCATCACTCAGTCTGTCCTTGCCTCCCCCCCCGGGCCCAGTGGGTCAATGTCCTCCTGCCTGCCGGCCTGTCCCTCCTGCGGCCGCCTGTCCCCCGGGATCTCCTGGCCTGGAAGGAGAACACAGGCTGTTGTGGACAGGCAAACACGGCCGCTGTTTGTCCAGGGATTGGGGCGCCAGTTTGGAGGGAACTCGCAGACCGCACATTCTGCCACCTCCCAGCACTTTTCCAAAACAGCCTGGCCTTGGCTGGGCCTGGCTGCCTGGGGTGGCCGGGGGCTGGGAGCCAGGAACAGGGCAGGGAAAGCAGGGCCTTGGGGCCAGCGGGGTGAGGTGACCAGGTGAGGCTGAGACAGCACTCCATCAGAGCCAGCCTGGTCTTCTTTGATGTGCCTTAGAGGGAAGGAGAAAGAGAGAGACTGACTGTGTGTATCTGTGTTGGGGGCTAAAGCAAAAACACACTTGACTTGTCTCAGAGTCTTCGGGCTGAGCCAGCCAGGCTCCATTCCTCGTAGAGGTTCTGGTGTGCTGAGCAGGGCGTAGAGGCACTGATGGTGGGACAGTGGGCTGGGACTTCGGTTCAGCTCCTCATCTCCCAGCTGACCACCCTTTCACCAGAAGAGATTGGTCTGGCCCAAGGTTCAGCCTCCACTGGCCTCACCTCCAG